TATATATATATATATATATATATATATGTATGTATAAATATGCGCGCACGCACACACACATCTGTGCTATATTGCATCTGATTAATTTTCACGCTTGATTTGCTTCGGTGCTCTGTTTGGTTTTTGGTTGCTGTCTTGCTGAGAACGTGTAAATAAGTACAATGTAAAAAAGCATTAGAATTTTACCATTTGAGACGCAAGAAAAAATCGAAAACACAAAGACTTGTTCCAAAAATTAGAAGTAAAGACTAGCCTTTTTGTTTATATATTGAAGAACCAGATGTAACACAAAACCTTGAGTAGAAATCACAAAAGATCCTTTAGGATTTGGATCATCTGGTTCATTTTGAGCTTCTTAATTACAAAACCGTTTTCATTTTCATTTTTGTGCAGGTAGATAATAAAATTTTAAACTGTCGCTGCTCATGGCGAGTGAAGTAGATGCTGTCAATAAGGTTACTTTAGTCCCCCTCCCTTTTTCAAAGTGATTGTACTCAGCAACTAGTTTGATGCATCCTTCTTTATAACCCACCTTGGGAAGATATGGAATTATTGTTAATGTGAAGGTAAATGCATTGAGTCTACTGACCCATATTCCACCTTTTATTTAGGCACTCAACACTCTTATTCTATAGCTTAAGTGATGTAGATTGTAATAGCTTTAATACTTAATGTAGATCAAGGAGATGATAATAGGGATGAGAATAGAAGAAAAAAGGGATGAGGAGGGAAGAATGAGATGAGAAACAGAAGAATAAGAAGAAAAGGGATGAGAAAGGAAGAAAGAGATTTGGGCAAACAATAGCCTCAATAATATTCAGTAATTCAAGTCTGTCTCAAACAAGCACCTTACCCCCTATATATAGGGAATACAAAACGCTAAAACAAATATAATAAATTAAAAGAAATTACTAAAAAGATAAATGCTAAAAAATCTCAAAATAACTCTGATAATAAATCTATAATATCTATCCAACTCCAACAAGATCCTCATCACTAAGCTTTAGGTAAAAACTCTACGTGTCCTTTAAGTAAAAATTTACAAACTCAGGACACACACAGACCCTTACTGCATTTGCATACATCCATAATAGACCATTTGAATTGTCCTCATAATTTAGGGCATTTGGTGAAAATGTGGAATAGTATAAGCTCCATTTTTTTTTCTAATTACTGACATTCCTTCAGCATCCAATGACCTTTTTGCTTTTAGTTACCACTTACAAGAGAGAGATTATTAAACCTGTTCAGAACCTTTGAGGGTGGTTTATTTTGGTTTTATATAAACCTGAAGAGAGGTCTCCGTGTTATATTCGAAGAAAAATGTGTAGTATGCAACTCAATGTTGAGTATGATTGAATTCCTCAAAACAAAGATGAAGGCTTACTTCTTCTAAAAGCATGGTTTAGGAGACGGAGGTCAAGCCACTTACTTGGTTGTGTCATCTTCTTTTATGGAGTTGTATGACTGGATACACCATTCGCTCTGAGGAGTATACTAAAGCATAACATGGAAAACTTTCTTTACATTGTCTCCACTCAACAGTCGCCCGTTAGCTTTAATAGTCAGTGGCATAAATCCAATGGTTCCCATGTGCTTACTGTCATTAGTTTGTCAAACTACTGTTTTCTTCAGCTTATTATTATCATTGGCTGGTATAAACTTCAAGATTTAAGTAGTTGATTTCCTCAAACTAGTTCAAACAGAACAATAGCGAGCTGGAAACCCTAAAGGAGTAGCTGATGGGATGTAAAAGTCACTATCTTATATGATCGACAAGAAGGCTCACCTTAAGCTACTGTTTTTATTTTGCACAAGTGAATCTTACTTTTATTTGTATAGTTTCATGTCTTAATATTGGATGATAAGTAGTCTGTTACTGAATTTCGTAACTTTCTAGCTGATTGTGGTAACATTTGATTGTACAGGAAGGGAATGGAAGAAACGAGGAGAAAGTCAAAGGTGTTTTTGTGCTGGGTGAGTAATGTACCAATTTTTGAGTTCAATTTATTGTTCAGTCTCTACCTAGTTCATCGTTGGCTCATCCTTGCCACACATCCCCAGAAACCAAATTTTTCCAAATTTGAGTAATCTTTCGGTCTCAGCTGTTCTGTTTAACTGAAGAAAATTCACCAATGGTAGCAAGGTGACAACCTTGGGGCAGATACTTGCATTAAGAAGTGCTGTTGGTAGATGTTTCTCTCTCTCTCAGAGCTGAGCTGTAATAGTGGTGCAAATTATTTTCCTGCTACACTACAGTATTGAACAAAAAGACTTATAGGGAATGGTCCACTAACTTAGTGTTTCCTTTAATTGTGACAATGCACATATGCTCACAAAAAATATTCTTTACTAGGGATTTCTAGGTGGTATTTTATGCTGAGTTGACTGCTGACTACTTTCATTGCTTCAACAGTTCTGTTCATTGATGACTGGATAATACTAAGTACTAGGTGACGTAAAGATGTCTAATATACTTATATAAATAGGCTTGTGATGATTGTTTTAATTTTGACCATCATATGGTCAATTTATTATATTCTCAACAAGCTTGGATGTCTTAGTCCAGTACCTCTAGTTTCTACATATAAAGTTTAATTTATTGTTTTACTTTGTTGTTCTTAGCCATGGTGCTCCTTTCTGCTCATTGATGATTCTTTTTTACTTTTCCTAGTGCAGTTGAGGGAGGCATCTTAACTGACCTACGTTCGTTGTAACTGTTCCTAATTTGGCTATGATTGTGATTTCAATCATGCTTCTACATGATTTACTCTTTGCTTATTCTTGAAATTTTTTAAAGCCAAAGACAATTTATATGTTTCCTCTATTATGTCATCTATGTTGAAGCTGGTATCTCCTATAAATATTGTTTCTCTACCAGTGTGTACTTTTAATCTGTTCTCCAGCTTTTTATTTGTGGTCTGTGATTTTCAGTTTTCTTGTTCAAGTTGTTGTTGCTTTCATAGCCGATCTTGCTATTATAATCATGGATATGTAATAAATAATGTTTCTCTACCATGGACAAGTTCTTATTTGTTATTCAGCTTTTTATTTATGGTGAATTTTCTGAGCAAGTGGTCCAGGCAGTGGGAAAAACACTCTGTGTGCAAAAATTGCTCAACACTTTGGGTACACTCATCTTAATGTTGGTGAGATTCTTCGAGCATAAATCAATTCCAGGTCCAAGGATGGGTATTGATTTGACTATTAACTCTGTCTTCCACATTGTTACTTAGTTTCACCTCGACTGTTCTTCTATTTTGACATGAATTATTCCAATTACTCCACTGTGGAAGTTGAAAAGTCAATTTAACTGTAAGTTGGTGTAATTAGTGTCATAAGTTCTTGATTTGAACCACATGACCTACTTATGGAAACTGAGGCCGGAAATTGTCAATAGTTCATAGGCTTAACACTTAGCCCTATTTTATTTCATTGGTATTTTTCATTGTTTTCGAACTTTATTTGACTAGCAATGTAATGCTCATTATTTTTTTTGTACTCAAGTAATTTGTCTAACCCCTTGCTTCTTTATTACATGCAAATATGTTGCTACTGGGCGATTGTCTGAAATCTGCTGGAGATACCTAACTTGTTTTTAGAATTGAAGAAATACTCTCGCTCTCTGACCATGTGTGTGTCTGGAACTTATACGTATATGTGGTTGTGGTATCCATCCTTAAAACATTTTGCAAATAGAACTTTTATCTCTTTTTTCCCTGATTTCTGATGGTCTTAGACCTCTGTTGTTTGCCTAATAACTGGAGAATGGAAAAAGAGTCACCAGATTGTAACTAGGATTTCTTTACGCTAAGAATTTCTACTTCTCCATTTTGCAGACATGAAGTTTGAACTAGTTTGGACAAATAATTAGCATCATATTCCCAATTTTTTTTGGCCAATTCAAATAGAAGTGTACAACTCTACAACATCCCAATTGTTTTCTAGCTCTAAAACCAATTAGGTACATGCTTTTCTGATAGTAATTAGTTCTGTCTTGTGGATTTGTTCTGTTTAACTCCATTTTTTGCAGTTCATGATTGAAAATATGATAAAAAAGGGAAAGCTTGTTCCTTCAGAAGTAACCATCAAGCTTCTTCAACGCACCATGAAGGAAAGTGGTAATGAAAAATTCCTTATTGATGGCTTCCCCAGAAATGAGGAGAACCATGTTGCATTTGAGAAAATTGTAAGCTTATTGTCTGTTATTACTTTTTTTTTATGCCAGCATCTCACTAGCCACATAATTGCTTGTGGACTTGTTTTCATTCTGCTGCTATCTGCTATCCTTCTCTAGATGCATTGACCTTGCCATTAACAGTTGTGGAATTGTTTCAGACAAAAATTGAGCCAGAGTTTGTATTGTTTCTTGATTGTCCTGTGGAGGACATGGAGAGGCGCCTTTTGTGTAGGAATCAAGTTAGGTTGTTAGAGTTTGTTGCAAATAGGTTTTTGGCTTCTTGAGTTTTTCAAGATTCTCCGGCCACCCATAGTTTTGGATTGGTGTTTCTTTCATTTCATTTACTGTTGGGAATGAAGGAAAGAGAAGATGACAATATTGAGACAATACGAAAGTGGTTCAAAGTTTTTGCAGAATCCACTCTTCCTGTGGTTGAATATTATGCCTCAAAGGGGAAGGTCTGGAAGGTACATTTAAACATGTTTCCTTTATCCTACAGTTTTTGCAGGATTGATTGTAGATGCTGACTGGTTTCTCTCTTGCCAGATTGATGCTGGAAGGCCTCTTGAAGAGGTTTTCGAGTCAGTCAAACCCATTTTCTCCCCAGCTAAAGAAAAGGTGGGTTCCCATCTGGTTGGTAGTTTTACAGTAAAAATATGGAACCTAAAGAGACTCAATGGCAAAACCTTACATGTATTGGCGGTTTGACTATGATTTTTGTTCATTTCATATGGGGAAAGATGTGTTCTGAAACAAAGGCTTCAATTCCCTTGTTAATCACCAACTAGTCTAAAAACTTAACCGATAGCAGAGGTGTAACATGAGCATTCCCTTACATGTTGCCCATGTTTGATGGTTCGCCCAGGAAACTATGTTGTGTAATAAGGGAAATGGTATCGCGATGAAGTCAGAATTTTAATATACCTATTAATAACCAACTATTTTACAAGCTTAAGCATATAAAGAGAGGTGTAATATAAGTATTTAAAAACGCTCTTAAATTCCCCGACTTCATTAAATTTCATCATCAAACATCAATGCAAATCAAAGTTGGTTTATAGCCTCTACTCGAGATAGTCACATTTCACCTACCATGTGTTTTGTAGGCTGCTTAGACACAAATCTTGCTGCTCTATCTACAATTTGAATTTTTTATTCCTTGTTGCCGGTACTTAGCCAGTTCTTATTTCTTTGTGCCCATAAAAGTGTATTACATTTTAGTCGGCGCCGACTTGTCCCCAAACAGTGGCAAGGTCGTTGAAATTCACCGAACGCTAGGAAGGAGGAGCAACTTCGCGAGCAGAGACGTCTGCATAAATAAGAAAGGGTCTCGTTAAAAATTAGTAAGACATTTAAAACATACAGACAAAAAAAGCGCAAAGAGACCGACGTATTTGTCATTTTTCACTGCAGGGGCACCTCAGACCAGTATACTCGGGGTTGGTTCCTCTCTCCCAGGCCCCACTGAAGACCAACAGGTCGTCTTTGTACTCATTGTCTGAGTCAGGAAGGTGGGTCACTAGATACATGGAAGGATCCCTAGACTTGAGGTAGAAATTTTGCTGGGGCATCACTCTTAGCAAGGAATAGCAGAAGAGAATGTCATCGAGACCAAGGTTGACCCCGAGACGCCTATTGAATTCTATGACCCACATTACTATCCTAAAAATATTCAGGCAACATTGCCCGGGGATGAGATCGAATCGGGAGAGAAATTGAAGAAGTAAAGGGGGCAAATGGAATCTTATCCCACCCTCTATAAATAGCCTTGGTGTAAAAAGACATTGCTTCCTTGGTCCCGACATCACGATTATGCCGAGCGGGTTTGAATACCGTTATACCAACATTACTGGGAATGCGATAACGGGTTCTAAAACTCTCTATTTGCTGATCCTCCTTAACTTTATATTTCTCTGGCCTCGAGGGACCAGGATTTTGGATCTCGGTGTCAGGGCGGGGCCTAGGCTTCTCTATGAAGGAAACAAGGATTTCTTCTCCTAAAAAGGTCCTAAGGAGTTTTTTCAAATCACTAGGGAGACTGATGGAGACCAAGAAGGCCACCGGTCACCGAAAAAGACAGAAGGAAAAGGAAGAAAAAGAAAGCAAGGATTCACCAGAGAACTAAGGGAAGGGTCTGGAAGCTTAGAAGGACTCGTTTCATCGTCGAAAGTCTGGTGGCAAGTGGTGGCGCAAGTGTTTTTGCTCCGGTGATGGCTGGAAAAGCGATGGTGCGAACTGGTTCTCTGAGGAGTTTTTCGGCGAGAGCTCTTGTAAGTTTCTTCGCATGAACTAAAGTGTGGGAAAAAGAGGGGGTTTAGTTTATATAGTAACTGTCCCCATCATTGTGCACGAAAACACTAAGAGGTGCATTTAATGCACACAATCTCCAAAGCGACGAAAAATAGCTGGAGCAATGATGAGGTGGTTAGGGCATTTATGTAACCCTTCACCTTCTGACGACACGTCTCCCCTGCATCAGAAGATCAAAGGCTGAGGGGCAGTTGATGGGATATTTCTGGAAGAAGATAGATCGACGACACGTGTTCTCAGTATCGTTATGTTTTCAGCCAGGTATGGCCACGTGTCCTTGACAACACTCATCCCCATCTATCGAGGCGATAGTGCTCGGAGCCGAGGGATCCCCAATCGGCGTGATCAACACATATGTCCTCAGCTCAGCAAAAACCTTTGACCCCGAGATAGACAAATATTCCTCTGTGTCGAGGTGTTTCTTTTGTATGCTGGATTCCACCTCTCCTCTGGTTGTGCAAAAGTTAATGATAGACATATGGCTAGCCTAGGCCAAGCTAGGCTAATCATCATGAAGACGCTCTGCTTGATGGTGTCAGGAGGCGCAGGAATGCAGAACATGCAACAAAGGAGGGGTGGATGCATGGAATTTGATATCAAATTAGTAACAAAAAGACCTGAGTACCCTTCCTGATACATGACTGGAGCAAGTGAGCATTTAATGAATCCTCCTCCTGATGAGATAACAATTAAGGCATGGGGGCGGAGAAGTGAAGTGCATTAAAAACCCCCATACTTGGGCATTTAATACATCCTTGTCAAGAAGGGGGAATTGAATGTTCGACAGATCGAGGAGTGAGTTTTAAATGCTCGGCATCTCGATCAGTTAAAGCAAAGCCCATTTCCCATAAAAGTGAAAGGCACACTGCCCCATCTCTGACAAATATCTGCTGGATGGACCATCAACAATCATAAGCTTTTGAAGGTATAAATAGTTCTCAAAAATGCATTACAAAAGTACGGAAGAACTTCAGAAAATAACCACACAGTGCTTTCTTCTTCCCCTCTCTCAAAGAACTGACTTGATCGTCGGAGGGGATACACCGGAGAGCACTTCGGCACCTTTCTAACCTGTTTTTCTTTGCCACAGGATCCCAGGACCGGCCAAGCGACCCAACAAACAATTCATCACCAATCCTTAGGGTCACTTTGTCTCTCTCAACCTACTTCTTGTTGTCAAAATTCACTTTCAGATGGATCAAATTTCTACCAGAGGCGATCAGAGACCCTGAAAGCAAACCCTCCGTTCCGTTGGAATTATTTTCTTATCAAACCACAATTTATTGTGGGAGAAATCTGTTCCTACTTCTACTGTTGTGCAAAAATCGACACGCACAGATATGAGCATATCAACATCTAGGAAACTACACCAGCATTTGTTTCAGCCACAGCCAACCAACAAACAATGTAGGTTCTGTGAAGAAAAATCCAAATTGTTGATTGATGCAATGCTTGAAACTATAATATGTTGAATGATAGAAGGCATAAATGAACATGACTGCGAGACTCACTTGTTGAGTAGGGATGAAAGTCAGCCTTAGTGATCCGATGGTGCTGAAAACTTTTGCAGGTCGGAATACATTGAACTGCAAGTGATTGTATCTCTCTTGAGAGGAGCTTCGGGATCACTTCTGGTGCTAACACTTCTGCAGTAAATCTCTCAACCTTTTTGGTTCATATTCATATAATTGTCATGACAAAAGGCTACGCAGCCATGCACTAAGCACACGCGAACTATTCTTTAGCCTTTTGCTATAAAGAATACCGTTTGTTGGTTGCATGCATATTGTCATGACAAAAGGTTATGGTAAAAAGTAGTGATATCCCATCTTTGGAGGGAGTTTGATGTATTTTTGTGGCCACAAACGACGGTCCCACAGAGAGCAGCCTCGGTCATTTTAAAAAATTTAAAATTAAAATTAATTTGTACCTTCAAAGATCAATTATTTTAAATTATACCCTCAATTATATTAATTAGTAACAATATAACTCAAACCATAGCGTTCATTGCAATTTTTATCAAATTTTCAACCATGTTAGATACACGTGATGACTNACCGGAGAGCACTTCGGCACCTTTCTAACCTGTTTTTCTTTGCCACAGGATCCCAGGACCGGCCAAGCGACCCAACAAACAATTCATCACCAATCCTTAGGGTCACTTTGTCTCTCTCAACCTACTTCTTGTTGTCAAAATTCACTTTCAGATGGATCAAATTTCTACCAGAGGCGATCAGAGACCCTGAAAGCAAACCCTCCGTTCCGTTGGAATTATTTTCTTATCAAACCACAATTTATTGTGGGAGAAATCTGTTCCTACTTCTACTGTTGTGCAAAAATCGACACGCACAGATATGAGCATATCAACATCTAGGAAACTACACCAGCATTTGTTTCAGCCACAGCCAACCAACAAACAATGTAGGTTCTGTGAAGAAAAATCCAAATTGTTGATTGATGCAATGCTTGAAACTATAATATGTTGAATGATAGAAGGCATAAATGAACATGACTGCGAGACTCACTTGTTGAGTAGGGATGAAAGTCAGCCTTAGTGATCCGATGGTGCTGAAAACTTTTGCAGGTCGGAATACATTGAACTGCAAGTGATTGTATCTCTCTTGAGAGGAGCTTCGGGATCACTTCTGGTGCTAACACTTCTGCAGTAAATCTCTCAACCTTTTTGGTTCATATTCATATAATTGTCATGACAAAAGGCTACGCAGCCATGCACTAAGCACACGCGAACTATTCTTTAGCCTTTTGCTATAAAGAATACCGTTTGTTGGTTGCATGCATATTGTCATGACAAAAGGTTATGGTAAAAAGTAGTGATATCCCATCTTTGGAGGGAGTTTGATGTATTTTTGTGGCCACAAACGACGGTCCCACAGAGAGCAGCCTCGGTCATTTTAAAAAATTTAAAATTAAAATTAATTTGTACCTTCAAAGATCAATTATTTTAAATTATACCCTCAATTATATTAATTAGTAACAATATAACTCAAACCATAGCGTTCATTGCAATTTTTATCAAATTTTCAACCATGTTAGATACACGTGATGACTTCTGACAGATTATGACACTTCCCTTTTTTACGTACATGTTTCGTTTGTTTGTAAATCCAATAAAAATCATTATGAACATTTTTTTGTAAGGATTACTATTTAAGTCAAATTGACGGTCACGTGCTGGTTTTTATTAAATTATGACCCTTTTTTTTTTTATGTACGTCTCACGCGGCTGTCAATATGGTGAAAATCACAATAGACGTAGTGATTGATGTCACTTTGTTACCAATTAATTAAATTAAGGATGTAATTTAAAATAATTAATATTGAAGGGTACAAATTGAACATTTTTTAATCTTTCCGAATGTAAACTGCCATTTTCCCTG